AGACACACACACACACACACACCCACACACACACACACACACACACACACTTGGCCGATCACGCATGAATTAGTTACACAAAACGCTATTCGAATACTCGACATTCAATGATTAATTTCCCTTTTGTGTGCACACGTGCACCCTTTGTGGCTTTCGTTCTCGCCGAAATTTCGAAATCTCCGAGATATGGCGAGGCCATGAGAATGCGAGGCGAGGGTGTTACTGTTGTGGCGACGCCACTCGAGCAAACCGCGCCTCAGCAGTTGATAGTCCGCTGCTTCTGCTGTGTGTGCGTCAGCGCGAAGATGTACGCATGCGCGTCTTTTGATTTCAACCAATCAGCGCCGACACGACCGACGTCACACACGACATACGACAACAGCTAAACTAAGCTAGCCGAGACGACACTCGAAGTCGGACGGACACGTTTTTTCTGCCAATCTGTGTGTTTTTCCCTTTTCGTCCAAATATATTTTTTACGACAACAACTGTCTTGTCCACGATGTCTTTTATTCGTTCCACTGGGGTTTAGCAAGTGTGTTTATAAAGAGACGAAAATCTCTTTGCTGTTCCTACTGTAAGTGTTAGGGCCTCAACATGGCTACGCTCGTGAAAGCAAAACAACGAACTCAAACGCGTGTTCGTTCAATGTTGTCAACTAATATCCGGGTTAATTTTAGGCAATTTTTCCTCAATTCTCCGGAGAAATTTTCATTAAAATTTGAAATCCCGGAACTCCGGGAAAATCCGGAGGACTTTCATCACTGCAGTTTTTACACACTAATGATCCACTTAAAAAAATAGCAGATCTGTTGTGTTTGCAGCTGGAAATTCCGCTTCCACACATGCTTTTTCCAACCACATTTCTAACAGTGATTGCTGATATCTCTGATTAACGAGACAAAAATGATTAGTATTTATTTGGAGTGGTGCTTTAATTGTGGGTGTGGGGGTGGGGAATAACCTTTGTCTCTGAAAATGTCAACAAAATCCTGCAAAGATTATTTAGCACTCCTGGTACATGTCAGGTATGATGGCTAGTTTTAATAACATTTTTGACAAGTACAATTCAACTGTCACCCAAATGAGGCTTTGGATTGAATGCCCTGCCACATTGTCACACTTACACCAAAAACACTTTTTGATAGGGCCCTTTGAGATACAGAGCTAACACTGCTAATGTTTAAACTTCCCAATGCTCTCTTATTGTGAAGTTACAATTCGAGAAGTTGGCATGTAGAAAGTGTGAAACTGTCACTTGGTGAAAAACAACTTGCGAAGTAAGCCTCCGAGTGCAAATGAAACGCAGCATTAAACAGAACACCGGTGAATGTGTCATTCATATGGAAAAGTTTATCACAATACTGTAGCTGCATCCATGACTAAAAAGTATATCAGAGTCAGAATGTGGCCACACAATTGCTTTTGCAATGTGTAAATGGGCAACTTTGACAACATTAATGTGAAAACAAATGAGTAACAAAAGGGTGTCTCTTCAGTCAACTAGCTCATCTCTGTTCACCGCCATGTGATCAGGATTAACAGTGGCGGACCAGCTCGTCAGCAACAAAATATGTTTAAAAATACTCTTTTAAAAAACTGAAAATTTACGGGTCAGACAAGCCCAAGTGGATGAAAATTTTTCTTGCATCTTGAATTTTAGGTGCAAAGGAGCAATCTGGAGTCCTTAATTGGGGCTTGTAAAAAGTAGCCATCAAGTGAGGGAGATAATCATGAATATGGTGCTAATCATTGGAATATTCAAATCGTAGATATCTAATAAAATCAACCTGGGGCACACCCCTCTTATACTATACATGCCATGCATTTGTTTACCAGCCACCGTTTCCTTTTCATACCGCTTCATTTGCTCTGCTTTCAACAATCTGAGACGTGTATGTAAATTTTACACCAATAGTGCAACTCTCTGTGTAAAAATAACCATGTTTGTGTGTGCTCACCTGCTCTCGCAGTTTTTCTTTATCAATCAGCTCCATTCTTCTTTTTTTGATAATCTCCTGTCATACACACATCAAAATAATTTTAGTCAGAGAGAGAACTGCTCTGATTGCCACCTCAAAAGTACCAAAACAACAACAAGCAGTGCAAATTTCATCTGTGCTATATGTTACACATCGAGCACATTTGACAATAAACTTGTACTTGATACTTGAAATGAAATCTGAATGTAAACATGTTACGCAGCCTTCTCAGTGGTGTACCTGTTTTCGTCTCCCTTCTTCCCCTTGACTTACTCTTCTGTGGATGGATGCAAGGGCCTAAGCATATAACATGGGGTATCAGAACATTCCATAACATAACACCTGAGGAGAATTGTGTCACCAAGTGTGTAGCTCAGGCATCACAGTCTGACTTTTCCAGCTTACTCACCGGTTTATGTTTAATAGCAGGCTTCCTGTCTGCATGTTTTTTTGTTACTGACACCTTCCTCGCAGTTAAAGGCACTCCATATTTACATGCTGGTGTGGTAATCTTGGCCGCAGGAGATGGAATGGAACCAGAGGCAGGATGCTTAGCTAGTCACAAGTAGAATAATCATCAAAATGACAAGCATAACATGAAATAGTCACTTGTAATGCTTATGGCTCAACTTTACAAAATGTACAGTATGACTGAATTTACAATTTCAGTAAGCTGAAAACTAGGCAAGGGAATTAATTTGGAAGCAGTCCAGTAAAAAAAAGTCTGTGGTTTGTGTATGTCTATAAGTAAGAGGTGGAGGTTCATTCTAGATTGCCTGCCAATCAACCACTTACCACAAATATTTTTTTTCAATGAGTCAAAAAGCTCCATTTATTAAAAGGAACACGCCACTGAACATTCATTTTACTCCATTCTATTTGGCAGTGTATATAAACGTTAAAAGTGCAAGTATCAATAGAGAATGCCTGAAAAAAAGTTAACACTGAATATGTATCAAATTAATGACATACCCTGTACAGCACCATCCTGAGAATTTGTGAGCCGTTTACACAATCACTGTGACATAGTGTGATCTGTAAGATGTCAATCTTCATTTTTTACTTATTTCCTGGTCTATTATGCAATGAAAACGTCATAAGGCATTGCTAAGTATTACCAAAATGTAGCTTTTTTAGAAGTTAGCACAACTACCCACGTCAGGTTTCATATTCTTCCTACAAAAATAGATTTACGGCAGAAGTAGCTAGCCAACGCACACAGCCTGCGAGTCTCCAAAATGCAGTCTATGACAACCCCAACCTGGCATAACGTTCGAAAACCCGTGATTCTAGTTGTGTGCAAGGTGCGTCCTTCACACACGTGATAATACATCATTCACGTTCTTCTCCTATTTTACTCTTCACTTTTTTGACAGGCTAGCTAGTTTACATTTTTTGACTGATTTGGACAGTTACTGTCATTTTCTGTTTTGTGTTGTAGTTCCGCTGGAGTAGAGGGTGGTCCCTCCAGCGGCGCACCTGTCACGTATCACAATCAGCACACTATTTAAGGACTTCCATGCCGACAAACCAATGTGGGATCATTCGCCATGCTCATGACCCTGTCTCCAAGTGTTTGAATTTTCTAGACGTCCCTTGTTCTTGCCACGTATTCGTATCGTCACGTTTTTTTTTAATTAGCTCATAGTAAGTTATCTTTGTTAAATTCTTAGGCTCAGTTTGTATTACGTATATGTGTTCTGGGTTTTCTTGTCTTTTCACGACAAGCAATTTCTGATTACATTTGTCCTCGCCTTTTGCAAACGTGTTTGATTTGTCTCGTTTTCCCCCCTCTAATTTCTACATTATTGATCGACTCAAAATGTAGCCACTTTAAAATGTTCAGCTTCTTGTATGTCGGCCTCCCCAGTGGGGCAGCCATATTGACCCAAACATTAGGTACACCCCAGATTTTTGTCTGCAGAAGGCTTCAAGGGGGACCCCACATTGGAGAGAACATGAGGGAAACCCCGGATTCTCATCCCTAGGTCTCCCCAATGGCGTGGCCATCTTGGCCAGAATACATTATGGATTCTTTTTTCGAGGGCTGTGTCTGAATGTGCACACTATTCCCTGTATAGTGCTCTATTAAGGGGTTACACCATTTTGTAGGGGTGCCCGAATGTCCAAGGAGGATAAATGTAAGGCATTTGATATTACCCATAATGCACTCGGCAAAGTAGTGAGTGTGGATGTTCAATTTAAATGTTTTTTTTTCCACGATAAATCGTGGGGAATCTTAACGTGCCGGTTCATCATGACAGATATGGTGGTAATATGATATGTGTCGAGTTGAAAGTAATGAGATGTCTGTTTGAATCGCCAAACAGAATGAGGGAACTACTTTAAAGTGCAGGAATATATAGTGAATGATGGGTTAAGGGTGGACATTCAGACACAGCCTAGGCTGCTCCAGGTGTGCGGCCATATTGGCCAAAACATATACACCTTGGATTGTGTCTGCAGATGGCCCCACTGGGGACGACATTTGGCCAAAACTTTCGGTACACCCCTGGTACCTTGCTGCAGGTCTCCCTACTGGGCTCACCATATAGGCCAAGCATGTCCAGCTCTGGGCCTGGAGGGCCGCCGTCCTGCCTGTTTTCCATCTCTCTCGGCTGCAACACACCTGATTCAGATGATCAGATCATCAGCCAGCTCTGAAGCAGCATTAAAACATTCCTGATTATTTGAAGCAGGTGTGTTGCTCCTGGGAGAGCTAGAAAACAGGCAGGACAGCGGCCCTTGAGGACCGACTTTGGACACCCCTGATATAGGCCAAAACATAGGTATACCCCGGATTCTTGTCTGCAGGTTATTCTCAGTGGGATGTCCATCTTGGCCAGAACATTAGGTACACCCCAGATTCAATGGAGCGGCCATATTGGCCAAAACAATAAGTACAACCCGGAATCTTGTGTGCAGGCCCCAGTAGGGCCTGCACACCTTGGGGCCTCGATTTTATTCTAGTCCAGACTTCTGACACACCTACTTTGCATAACCTATGTGTATGTATGTGAATATGTGCACAACCACCATACAGGCGTGATTCAGGGAAGTCCAAGGGTGGCCCGAATAATTTCTGGCTCATGGTGTTTTCATGGTATGTGAATTCCATAGAGATCCATTTTGAAAACATGTCACTTTGATTGTGAAGTTACTGTAACTGGCATAATGGATCTGGAACAGGGGTACCCAAACTTTTTTGACCGAGGATCTACTTTTCGATCAACCAACGTCCAGCGATCGACCAGTTACCGCAAACGCGCGCATATGCACGCAAGCCATGATGAGCAATGGCCTGACGCTGAGGCATGCAAAGCACTTAGGCAGCTTGTTAACGATTGTAGCTCACGTGTATCATTTTAAAATGCTTCTCTCGGCCCTCCAGATTCCCATTATTTGGCCGTCCCCTCGGTGAATTGTACAAAACAAACTCTGAATGAGAATAATGATCACGATAAAAGATATAGCGAAACAGCTCTGGCCACAAGCTGCAACTGCGAAGCGCTAACAATGTCCGGTGACGCAGTCACACGCCACGCTTTAACAAACAAATTTTTTATTTTCTTTTTGAAGTACTTTTTGTGAAAGTGAGACTGATAGAATGATTAGGGTGCAGTGTGCATGAACACAAAAAATACATAACTAAGATGCACAGAGACACAAATGTTTGTTTTTTTTTTTTTCTCTCTCTACACCCCTTGGATCGATTTGGGACCAGTCCTTGATCTACTGGTCGATCGCGATTGACATAATGGACACCCCTGATCTGGAAGTTATCACCAATGATGATTGCATGACTCATCTCCAGGCTTTTTTGAAGGGGCGTGTGTTTTTGCATTGGCTTTCTAATTAATACCTACAAACAATTTATTCAGAATACTGTGCTCTTAAGTAAATGCTTTGGAGACATTTTTTCTTAAATTGCAAGAGGAAACAGGCTGTATCCAAAACGCCAGATGAGCCTGTGCCTGCAAGCTATTAAACCTTGGACATCAACAGCGATGTCCGCGTTGGCGCTGCTTATTTCATTTCTGGTAAGTTATTGTGGCCATTTGTATTCGGTTAACCTCTATGTCTTCAAACATTGAGTAAGTGGGCAGGAAATATGGACCATCTCAGATTATTTTCAATGTGATGATTTTCATGCAATATTTCTTGTACGCACGGCGCAACAGAAGCAGGGTTGCTGGGCAACGTTGATACACTCAATGTTTTTTTTTTCTTGAGTTGATTAATGTCCACTGTTCCAACTCGCTTTTCTATTCATGTACCGGCTCCAAACATGTTCAGTCATGAGCACAGTACTCTGATCAAAATAATTTTATTGGATTTTTTAAGCTACCGTATTTTCCGCACTATAGGGCGCACCAAAAAGTCTGACATTTTCTTAAAAGGTCACCGAGCGCCTTAAAATCCGGTGCGTCTTGTGTCTGGTCATTACGGTAATACGTCGACTCCAAGATGGCTCCTTCATGGAGACATGCTTCCAAGCTTATAACTTGCTGTTGGTTCAGTGAACTGTGTCGCTGCTTTATTAAATAAGTTTGTGTTGCAGCTCCGAAAAAAAGGAGAGCTGTGGTGTTCATTTTTTGAAAGTCTCAACAAATACAGGTACGTCTTTGTCTGTCTCCGTGCCTTCTTCCGTTCGACTAGAGAGGCGTTCAAGACCGCCTCTGAAAAACGTAAACTAACGATTACTTCAATGAAAATACAAAATTTGAAAATAATACATCAAAACTGAAAATATCACAGAATATCAAAAAATAAATTCTATAGCCCCCCCACCCCCTACAGAATTTACATTGTGATTTCATCATTTGTGAATACACAACAAAGGAATAAATAACTACGACTGACATCTGATCGCACTGTTGGAGCTACGATCAAGGAAATGCCAATGCGTTTTTCGGAGGCGGTCATGAACGCCTCTCGAGTTGACCGGAAGAAAAGAAGGCACGGAGACGGACAAAGACGCACCTGTATTTGTTGAAAAAAGGAGAGCTGTGGTTGTGGTTTTATTTTTTTTTTTCAAACGCATAACTTATTAATGGTTTTCGCAGTCTCAACAAATACAGGTACTGTACGTCTTTGCCTGTCTCCGTGCCTTCTCTTCCGTTCCACTCGCGAGGCGTTCATGGCCGCCTCCGAAAAATGTAAATTAATTATTACTTCAATGAAACCACTAAGAAAATCAAGCGAGGAAATCACAAAATAAATTCTGTGGGGGGGATATAGAATTTATTTTGTGATTTCCTCGCTTGATTTTCTGTTTTAATGCATTATTTTCAATTTTCGTGGTTTCATTTAAATACAGTAATAGTTAATTTACGTTTTTCAGAGGTGGTCATGAACGCCTCTCGAGTTGAATGGAAGGAGCGTACCACCATCTAGTGGAGGCATTGTAGATTGCGCCTTATAATGCAAAGCATCCACTGTATGAAAAACATTTACACAATAGCCATTCATTGAAGGAGCGCCTCATAATCCAGTGCATCTTTTAGTGCGGAAAATACGGTAATACAACAATACATGTACTTCCAAAGTAGCCTGTTAGATGACTGGTGCACACTTCACTGACGATTAAAGTAAATTCTGAAATCCACTATGCAAGTTGAATTGAAATTCAAAGTGTGAGATACCTTCTAAATGGATGTCTATGGAATTCACCTGTCTCAAGAAAAGTCCCTGACCCAGGAATTAGGGTCACCCTCAGATGTCATCGAGTCACGCCTCATTGGTGTTGCGCACAAATTTACGTTACGCATGGTGGGTGTGTCACAAATCTGGATGGGAGAATGAGTGTACCTTGAACAAGTGCAAGGCAGACATGTTAAAATAAAAAATAATAATAAATTGCCAGCGCAAATGGGAGAATATGGCACTTCACCGAAAAAAAAAAATCTGTCGCTCTTTGCTTACCTACTGATCCCTGATGCACACCTACTTTATGCTGCTTGTGAATAAAGGTAGGATGGAATTCCTGAGCAATAACCTATATGAAAGAAGACTAAACAACAATTAATCTTAAATTAATTTAGACCTAGTTAGCTGTGCACTTACTTACCTTTGGTGTGAGGAACCTTTGGATCCTGCAAGAGAGGAAAGGTTTGTCTAGTATGGCGCGGACTGAAGGTCTTTCTCTCGGGTTGTGTTTAAAAAGTTGTGCCAAAAGGGAACGCAGTTCTTGGGAGTAGTGAAGAGAAACGGGATGATATGAGCCACGGATGATCTTCAGGACAAGGTTCTTCATATTTCCCGCCTCAAACTGAGCAGATGCAGATTCAAAACATCGTTAAAAAATGTTCACAAGCATACCGTATATCCTTGTTCCCCTCACATCTTCCCTTTGTGCAATATATATGTGGATATACTGAACTATTGGTAGCCCTCTGTTCATGAAAGAAAAGCACAACGTGGGCGCAAATAAATCTGACAAAAGCAATAAATGAAAACATTAATTCTGAAAATCGGGTATTGCTTTTGAATTGTGGTTCATCAGAATTTATTTGTCTGAGCTTCTTCACCCCTATGCACCTGCCTGGTGCCTCAGGTCTGCGGACCAGACGCTACTGGCAATGCTGAGAACGAAGCAGAGCCTCAGATGGGATCGAGCCTTTTCTGATGCTGGTCCATCCCTCCGTTAAATGTTGGTAAGCCCCTCTCTGTCCATTTTTAAAACTCGTTTGAAAACACATTTTATTCTTTGGCTTTCAAATACAAGACTGACAATGTTCTGTTGTTTTCTGATGTCTACTGTAGATACTGTCATCAATTTAGTTTTAATTTACTGTCTTCATTTTCTTTTGTTGTTGTTTTATTTAAGTGCTTTGTAACAGCTGTAGCTGTTGTGAAATGCACTACATAAATAAAGTTTTGATGCATTGTATTATTGAGTAGTTTTACCCATGAGTTTTAGATCACTATCCTGGATCAAGACAGACAATCTGCTCGTGAGACCAAGCTTTCTGCCACAACACACTAAAAACAGTTGGGTTATTTCATTAATTACATTTTTGGACTGTGTGGAGTCGAAATTTGGGGTTACTTCTTATGAGAAAGAATTGTTGGTTCAAAGTAAACATTTATTGGGTAATATGTCTGTAATGTTTTTGGTGGATCGAGTAGATTGGCAAGGAGCAGGAGACTCTCGCATTGAGTTCAGGTAAGATTGAGAGAAGTGAGTTTGCATAATTGTGCATTACACACTTTATTTTGCAATTATTAATTTCTTCGATGTTTGTATGTCAATCACATTGTACTTTGGCGCAGTTTTATTTTTAAAATGTGTGCTTATGAGAAAGTCATGACCACATGTAACTCAATGGCTACGAGCAACTTTGGTTGCTAACACAGCAAATCAAATAAAATACGCAGTGGTTATTTTTTGTGGTTATACCAATCCATATAAAAGAAGATTTATAATCAAAATGGGAAAGGAGCGGCGATGTGGGAATATTAAACAAACTTTGGAAACAAAATGTGGAAAATTTGTTTATAAAATTTTGAATTTTAATATTTATAGATGAATTGCATGCGGCCCAGTGGTCGACTGGATCGTGCGTCGGCCTCACAGTGGAGAGGTGCAGGGTTCGATTCTTCTGGCCTCCCTGTGTGGAGTGTTCTCCCATGCCCGCCTGAGTTTTCTCCAGGTACACCGGTTTCCTCCCATATGACAAAAACATGTGTGGTAGGTTCATGGAACACTAAATTGTCTATGTGCGAGTGTGAGCATGGATGGTTGTTCGTCTATGTGTTCCCTGTGATTGGCTGGCAACCAGTTCAGGGTGTCCCCTGCCTACTGCCCGAAGACAGCTGGGATAGGATCCAGTCCACCCCACAACCCTTGTGAAGATAAGCGGATCAGAAAATGGATGGATGGATGGATAGATTTATTGAAATGAAATGAGGTAGCAAATGGGATGGCAAGGAATTTGATACCCTGTAACACCGCATTATGTTTCTATAGTTTTGTAGTGTGAGTAAAGCCCCTAGGTACACATATGCATCTGATTAATCAAAGTCAGCATACATTCCAAGTATTTTTTTTTTATCTCACATCGTTGCGATACGCATTCTTGCACGTGCCATTATCGCGATCATGCAAATGTTTTTGACAGCCCTACTACGTGTCACCCTTTAAATAGTGTGGAAGGACACACCTTGGTCAAATGTGTCCCTTGAGTCAAATCAGTTTCGTTCTTTTCATAATTTTTGTCCAGGTCTGTTTCATTAATGTTTTTTTAAACAATTCACTAGACAAACCTTTCCTCTCTTGCAGGATCCAAAGGTTCCTCACACCAAAGGTAAGTAAGTGCACAGCTAACTAGGTCTAAATTAATTTAAGATTAATTGTTGTTTAGTCTTCTTTCATATAGGTTATTGCTCAGGAATTCCATCCTACCTTTATTCACAAGCAGCATAAAGTAGGTGTGCATCAGGGATCAGTAGGTAAGCAAAGAGCGACAGATTTTTTTTTTTCGGTGAAGTGCCATATTCTCCCATTTGCGCTGGCAATTTATTATTATTTTTTATTTTAACATGTCTGCCTTGCACTTGTTCAAGGTACACTCATTCTCCCATCCAGATTTGTGACACACCCACCATGCGTAACGTAAATTTGTGCGCAACACCAATGAGGCGTGACTCGATGACATCTGAGGGTGACCCTAATTCCTGGGTCAGGGACTTTTCTTGAGACAGGTGAATTCCATAGACATCCATTTAGAAGGTATCTCACACTTTGAATTTCAATTCAACTTGCATAGTGGATTTCAGAATTTACTTTAATCGTCAGTGAAGTGTGCACCAGTCATCTAACAGGCTACTTTGGAAGTACATGTATTGTTGTATTACCGTATTTTCCGCACTAAAAGATGCACTGGATTATGAGGCGCTCCTTCAATGAATGGCTATTGTGTAAATGTTTTTCATACAGTGGATGCTTTGCATTATAAGGCGCAATCTACAATGCCTCCACTAGATGGTGGTACGCTCCTTCCATTCAACTCGAGAGGCGTTCATGACCACCTCTGAAAAACGTAAATTAACTATTACTGTATTTAAATGAAACCACGAAAATTGAAAATAATGCATTAAAACAGAAAATCAAGCGAGGAAATCACAAAATAAATTCTGTGGGGGGGATATAGAATTTATTTTGTGATTTCCTCGCTTGATTTTCTGTTTTAATGCATTATTTTCAATTTTCGTGGTTTCATTTAAATACAGTAATAGTTAATTTACGTTTTTCAGAGGTGGTCATGAACGCCTCTCGAGTTGAATGGAAGGAGCGTACCACCATCTAGTGGAGGCATTGTAGATTGCGCCTTATAATGCAAAGCATCCACTGTATGAAAAACATTTACACAATAGCCATTCATTGAAGGAGCGCCTCATAATCCAGTGCATCTTTTAGTGCGGAAAATACGGTAATACAACAATACATGTACTTCCAAAGTAGCCTGTTAGATGACTGGTGCACACTTCACTGACGATTAAAGTAAATTCTGAAATCCACTATGCAAGTTGAATTGAAATTCAAAGTGTGAGATACCTTCTAAATGGATGTCTATGGAATTCACCTGTCTCAAGAAAAGTCCCTGACCCAGGAATTAGGGTCACCCTCAGATGTCATCGAGTCACGCCTCATTGGTGTTGCGCACAAATTTACGTTACGCATGGTGGGTGTGTCACAAATCTGGATGGGAGAATGAGTGTACCTTGAACAAGTGCAAGGCAGACATGTTAAAATAAAAAATAATAATAAATTGCCAGCGCAAATGGGAGAATATGGCACTTCACCGAAAAAAAAAAATCTGTCGCTCTTTGCTTACCTACTGATCCCTGATGCACACCTACTTTATGCTGCTTGTGAATAAAGGTAGGATGGAATTCCTGAGCAATAACCTATATGAAAGAAGACTAAACAACAATTAATCTTAAATTAATTTAGACCTAGTTAGCTGTGCACTTACTTACCTTTGGTGTGAGGAACCTTTGGATCCTGCAAGAGAGGAAAGGTTTGTCTAGTATGGCGCGGACTGAAGGTCTTTCTCTCGGGTTGTGTTTAAAAAGTTGTGCCAAAAGGGAACGCAGTTCTTGGGAGTAGTGAAGAGAAACGGGATGATATGAGCCACGGATGATCTTCAGGACAAGGTTCTTCATATTTCCCGCCTCAAACTGAGCAGATGCAGATTCAAAACATCGTTAAAAAATGTTCACAAGCATACCGTATATCCTTGTTCCCCTCACATCTTCCCTTTGTGCAATATATATGTGGATATACTGAACTATTGGTAGCCCTCTGTTCATGAAAGAAAAGCACAACGTGGGCGCAAATAAATCTGACAAAAGCAATAAATGAAAACATTAATTCTGAAAATCGGGTATTGCTTTTGAATTGTGGTTCATCAGAATTTATTTGTCTGAGCTTCTTCACCCCTATGCACCTGCCTGGTGCCTCAGGTCTGCGGACCAGACGCTACTGGCAATGCTGAGAACGAAGCAGAGCCTCAGATGGGATCGAGCCTTTTCTGATGCTGGTCCATCCCTCCGTTAAATGTTGGTAAGCCCCTCTCTGTCCATTTTTAAAACTCGTTTGAAAACACATTTTATTCTTTGGCTTTCAAATACAAGACTGACAATGTTCTGTTGTTTTCTGATGTCTACTGTAGATACTGTCATCAATTTAGTTTTAATTTACTGTCTTCATTTTCTTTTGTTGTTGTTTTATTTAAGTGCTTTGTAACAGCTGTAGCTGTTGTGAAATGCACTACATAAATAAAGTTTTGATGCATTGTATTATTGAGTAGTTTTACCCATGAGTTTTAGATCACTATCCTGGATCAAGACAGACAATCTGCTCGTGAGACCAAGCTTTCTGCCACAACACACTAAAAACAGTTGGGTTATTTCATTAATTACATTTTTGGACTGTGTGGAGTCGAAATTTGGGGTTACTTCTTATGAGAAAGAATTGTTGGTTCAAAGTAAACATTTATTGGGTAATATGTCTGTAATGTTTTTGGTGGATCGAGTAGATTGGCAAGGAGCAGGAGACTCTCGCATTGAGTTCAGGTAAGATTGAGAGAAGTGAGTTTGCATAATTGTGCATTACACACTTTATTTTGCAATTATTAATTTCTTCGATGTTTGTATGTCAATCACATTGTACTTTGGCGCAGTTTTATTTTTAAAATGTGTGCTTATGAGAAAGTCATGACCACATGTAACTCAATGGCTACGAGCAACTTTGGTTGCTAACACAGCAAATCAAATAAAATACGCAGTGGTTATTTTTTGTGGTTATACCAATCCATATAAAAGAAGATTTATAATCAAAATGGGAAAGGAGCGGCGATGTGGGAATATTAAACAAACTTTGGAAACAAAATGTGGAAAATTTGTTTATAAAATTTTGAATTTTAATATTTATAGATGAATTGCATGCGGCCCAGTGGTCGACTGGATCGTGCGTCGGCCTCACAGTGGAGAGGTGCAGGGGTCGATTCTTCTGGCCTCCCTGTCCTCCCATATGACAAAAACATGTGTGGTAGGTTCATGGAACACTAAATTGTCTATGTGCGAGTGTGAGCATGGATGGTTGTTCGTCTATGTGTTCCCTGTGATTGGCTGGCAACCAGTTCAGGGTGTCCCCTGCCTACTGCCCGAAGACAGCTGGGATAGGATCCAGTCCACCCCACAACCCTTGTGAAGATAAGCGGATCAGAAAATGGATGGATGGATGGATAGATTTATTGAAATGAAATGAGGTAGCAAATGGGATGGCAAGGAATTTGATACCCTGTAACACCGCATTATGTTTCTATAGTTTTGTAGTGTGAGTAAAGCCCCTAGGTACACATATGCATCTGATTAATCAAAGTCAGCATACATTCCAAGTATTTTTTTTTTATCTCACATCGTTGCGATACGCATTCTTGCACGTGCCATTATCGCGATCATGCAAATGTTTTTGACAGCCCTACTACGTGTCACCCTTTAAATAGTGTGGAAGGACACACCTTGGTCAAATGTGTCCCTTGAGTCAAATCAGTTTCGTTCTTTTCATAATTTTTGTCCAGGTCTGTTTCATTAATGTTTTTTTAAACAATTCTGTTAAACCAAACTTGAAAAGCAATGTCCGATTTTCCCAGGTTTATTTAAAAATATATATTTGAATTACCGTATTTTCTGCACGATAAGCCGCACCGAAAAGTCTTCCATTTTCTTAAAAGCTCACGGCACGCCTTAAAATCCAGTAGGCCTTATGTATGGTCATTACGGTAATATGTCAACCCCAAGATGGCTCTTTGATGGAGACATGCTTACAATGTTATAACTTGTTGCTGGTTCAGTGAACTGTGTCGCTACTTTATTAAATACGTCTTTGTTGCAGCTCCGAAAAAAGGAGAGCTGTGGTGGTGTTTTTTTAAAACGCACACTTTATTAATGGTTTTCACAGTCTCAACAAATAAAGGTACGTCTTTGTCTGTCTCCGTGCCTTCTCTTCTTCTCTTCATGACCGCCTCCGAAAAACGTAAATTAACGATTCCTTCAATGAAACTACGAAAATTGAAAATAATGCATCAAAACAAAAACAAAATCAAGCAAGGAAATCACAATTTAAATTCGATAGCATCACTATAGAATTTATTTGTGATTTCCTCGTTTGTGACTACAGTACACAACAAAGGAATAAATAAACACTTCTGAGACAGTCCAGTCTCCTCCAATTTACTGACATCTTATCATTCTGTTGCTGCTACGCTCAAGGACATGCCAAAATAAATTCTGTCGGGTGGCTTTAGAATTTATTTTGTCATTTTCTGTTTTGATGCATTAATGTATTTTCAATTTTCGTAGTTTCATTGAAGTAATCGTTAATTTACTTTTTTGGAGGCGGTCATGAATGCCTGAGTCTAGGAAGAAGAGAAGGCATGGAGACGGACAAAGACATACCTGTAGCTCGATCTAGTGGATGCATTGTAGATTGCGCCTTATAGTCCAGTGCGTGCAATACAGTAAATATTCCCATCCCCGGAATTCTGTGAAAAGGAATTTCCTTCACACGGAACAAAAACCTATGCATTAACATTTTGACTACGATATTACATGTTACTGGAACTTACGTAAGCGGAAATTCCACGACCCGTAACCCGGATTGAGACGTCATACCGCGGGAGCTTAAATACACGCAACGCCCACCCGATGCTACGGAAAGACATGACGCTGAGACACATTTTCACTTCGCGTTTTTCGATCAGCAGATTCAAAACGACGTGTAAGTGAGTTTTTATTGGCGTGCGTTTTACTGTAATTGTGAATGATTTACGTCCTGTAGAACGCGGCACTAGCTTAAAAGCAGCACCCACTCGACACGACCGAACAAAGGTGTTCGCTTCGCCGTTTTCATTCATCAGATTCGAAACGAAGACGTGTAAGTGACTTTTTATTGGCGTGCGTTTTACTGCAATTGAGAAAGATTTTAACTTTATTCACTTACATTGTGTAGATCATGGCATCGAAATGTAGAAGAACTGTAATGACTGTAGCGGAGCGAGTGAAATGCATCCGTTTGAGCGAGGCTGGACACAAAGTTAAAAACATCCAGCAGACACTTGGAGTCGGAAATCTACGAAACTTTAAAAAACAAGGCATCGATTCAACTCCTGATGACAAGCCACCATCCAGCGAGGAAGCAATGCGAATGGCAACAAAAATCCGTCAGTATGCACAAGAATTACCAGACATCGGTGATCAACGAGACAGTTACTTGCAACTTGCAAGAAAACTGTATGACACGCAGGCAAACATTGTCATAAACCAAAGAATGCATCCAACAAAACAATCCAAAATAGACACATTTTTTTCCCAAGACAGAAAAAAATAAACATTAAAATTCTGTATGTATTTTACTGTTTTGCAGTTTTTGTTATATAAACAGTTTTTGGACAGTATATTTTTGTATTTTATTGATTGTGTTGTTACACGTGCATTTTGTCAACATACTTGCAGGTTCATAAAAGACATGTACCATGCTCATTTCCCAAATGAGGAATTTCTGTTATCAGGACAAATTGGACAGCGCAAACACGAGTCCGCACTAGAGAATATTTACTGTATATGAAAAAAAATTACAAAATAGGTCATTCATTGAAGGTGCGCCTTTTAGTGTGGAAAATACGGTACTTTATTTCAGATTAATGTTATTTGTGTGACCACTGTACGAACAATTTTGTCCATGTGCAAATACAGTACATATTAACTCAGCCAGAATACTTACAGCATGCTTCAGGGTGCACATTTCATATAGGACACAGCCCAGAGCCCAAATATCACTAAAGAGGTAGAAAAAAGAGAGAGGATAAGGATGACACAAAAGGCAGTACTAATAACACATACAGGGTGGGTTTGCATGCATTCAGTAATGTTCCAGTATCTAATTGCCATATACTGTATTCCTTTCTCACTGATTTGATTGAAAAAAAAATACGATAAAGCAAGATCGGCTTTGCATCCTTCTTATTACCCACATCACGCTCACGTTCCAAAACCTCCACAGTATCCCAAATACAGACTCACAGAACTGCTACACCACCACCTGCCATTCTTCTCATTCAAACTGTCTTTCCCACCTACCCATGAACCGGTATAAAACCTGAGGAGACAGAGACTCCATTGTTTCCCCATCCCACTGGCACTCACTTCCCCAACACACCTACACAGATCTAGAGATCCCAAAATCATTTAATATGTTTACATGAAGTCATTTGAAAATAATTAGAAAATGGATGGACAAAGAAATTTCATGTTCAAACTGATAAACTTTATTGTTTTCAGCAAATAATTATCAAATTAGTATTTTATGGCTGCAACACATTCCAAAAAGGTGGGACAGGGTCATATATAGACCACTATATTACATCACCTTTTCTTTTAAGAATCTAGCGCGGCACTTTAAGAGAGAGAAGCAGAGAGACAAAGAACAACAATGATGGCTGGATAATAGACAGAGACAGGAAGGAGTTCTTTGAATTGTCTTTGCAAGAATTTAGAACAGTACGTGTTGTGATGAGGCGACTTCTGTTTTTTTGCGAACCAGGGTCTCTCATGGCCAAAACTATTGACGGCCTCGAAACGAAAAAAAAAAAAAAAAAAAGTCAGCGAGAGAGAAGCCCTGCCCGACCCGACCCGAACCTGAAGCAATAATTCACATTTTAGGCCCGACCTGACCCGAAATTCGCCCGATCTTACCTCTAATTCAGAGTGACATGACAAGCTGCTGGTCATTCATGACTCATTTAAGTGTAGTTACATACATAACAGTCGGTCTATGACGTTTCTCCAGACCGCTCGAAGTGGTGCTTAAAGCAAGAAATGACCCATACCAGCGAAGTCATGAGGAATCCCATACACCAACCTCATTGAGTAGCCAAAAACCACGACCAGAGCAAAGGGAGTGGAGACATGCTCACTACAAAATCTGGCGAAAGGGCTAGGCGACAACCAGAAGGAAGCAGAAGATGTCCTCCTTTCAGAGCAGCCCAAGACACTGACTGCAACACTCCTGGTAGATGACAACGCACCCCGATGGCGGGGTTATTTCAATGCAAAAAACACCGTCTTATATTCGAGCCAATATGGTAATACATCACGTGCGACTTGATTTGATGCTCAAAAGCTTGCACTTATTGCCAATGTTTAAAAAAAAATGAGAGCTGCTGTAAAGGCAGCCACTCTCACGGCGCTATCTTGTTATTTTATGAACAGAAAAAGTGTTCACCAATTGGGTGATCGCTCACGATGCTGTTTGCCTTGGACATTTTCAAAGGATTTTAAAAGCCGACAAAAGCAAACGTCTTTGCATCAGTTCTTTAAGCAAACATCCTTGCATCAGTTCTTTACAAAACCCCAGGCGAAAACCACTTCTGAGAGAGAACATGAAGTAAAGAGGGCAAAAAAAGATGAGGACGCAGTTAAAAGCTAAATGACCATTTTTCTTCTTTACTCTTTGTTTTTTACATGATGCAAAGCTCTCATTTATTGCCCAATATTCTAATTGTAACATGTATTTCTTACATATTTTGATGCATTTTTATGCTTTTGGAAACATTTATGTCGAAATTTTTTTTGGGGAGGGGGCTTGAAACGAATTAGGGTATTTACATGGAAAATACATTTCTTCCACAACCAATTAATTTCGTAAGTAGGGGTACCACCGTACAAACAAAGATGCATTGTATTATTTTATCTGTCTTGAGCTGAGCCACTGCCACCAGAATGAACAACTATACAGGAAACTGAATCATAACACATTGTTACTGTACATAAATCTCGGGTGAAAAATTAAGAGTAAAATTAATTAAGAGTCAATAAAAATGAATAAATAATGACACAAACGAATAGTACTGCTTCGGGAAAGAATAAACTAACAACAAACCTGTAATTATTATTCACAAATTTTTTAAAATGCCCTCAAGGCATGTTGGGTAAGCCTTCAAACTATACAATCATAGCAATTTTTATTTTGAGCCTCATCAAAACACAAAGAATAGGAAACTGACAACCGCAGATTTTCTTTTCTTCGCTGGGCTACTTATGTCACCTGCAGCGGGGTTGTCGGCGGGTCGAGGCGAGACGCTGCTGCAAGTTTAGCGACGATCTGTTCGTGCCTGCAGTTTTGCTCAAATTCAGGAATCACAGCCTTATTTCACCTCCATGGGGGCAAATAAGTTAAAGTTTGTACAAGTATCGTTCTCATGAAGGTATCACAAGGAGTAATTAACAGAGCGAAAGCTGGAGAAGCCATGCTAATTGCGAAGCTAACATAATGTCATCATGAAAGACTGGAAATAAAAGTACTTGGGTGCCTGACCACACTTTACGGAGGTCTCACTGTAACTGTGTTCAAGCAGAGCATGTCCAACTTTGATTTGCAAAATATCAGGCAATTTAATATGATATAATATAATGAGGCCGATCCCCCCCCCCCTTTTTTTTTTTGGAAACTGAACACACCTGGGTTTGACATCAAATGATGAACCCAACTCAAGAAATAAGATAAGATAAGATAAGAAAACCTTTATTAGTCTCGCAATGGAGAAATTCCCAATTCACAGCAGCAAAAATAAACACTACAGCTCATATTTCCAGGTATTGACATCTGGATTATATTCATTTAGAACAGTGGTGGCCAAACTATGGCTGGGGGTTTCGGCACAGCAGCCATTTTTCAGCAGCCCGCGACATAACAAAAAAAGAAAAAAAAACTTAAGGATGACATTTGTTGACATGGGCCACAAGATTAGTTAAAAAAGGTAAAAATGGGCAGAGTGCGAAGGGAGGTTGTCAGAAAAATAGGAGCTATTACTATTAATAAATGTGTTTATAAACTGTCGAACATTTAATTATATTCGACGATACAAATAGAACATTTATACTTAAAAGAACAACAATTTATCTTCAAAACACTGAAGTCAGTAAAGATATCATGTTTTCCGCGCTATAAGATATAAAAGCATTCAATTTCCTCAAAAGCCGTCAGTGCGCCCTCTAGTCTGATGCCCCGAATATGAAGAGTTTGTAACTCTCTTTATATTCCCCATTGAATTGTTTCCCTGTTAGTGTTCCTATGCCATCTAGTGATGATTATTAGCAGGAACCAATTGTAAGCTAAAAGGGTTCTGCCCGACAATAATTAACATGAACATTCGCCAACACATACTGAGACAACTACTTTGTGAGCTCTGCGTAGTCATTATGAAACAATGATAATACCAAAAGAATAGTTAACTAACTCAACAAAGAAAGAAGGAGCCAGGCAAGACTTTTGAGGATATTTAGCCCCTTGTGGATGTGAGGCCACAAGGTGTGTGTGCCTTTTCGTTGAATCAATTGTCTTCATAACATTTGTCTTTCATTTATTGTTTTGTAACGCCAATTGTATTTATGTTTCATATCTGTGTTTGTGACCAGTTCTCACAGGTTGCCAGGAATAAACCCTGTATTTTTATGGACTTCATGTCATGCTTCATGCTACATTCAGAGGGAGCTACATATGGATCAATATTCTGATTTCTTGAACGTAGTATTTCGAATGTAGCATGCTTTGTTACAGCTGCAGTAGTTGCGAAGGCTCTATATAAATAAAGCCTTCATGATTAAGTGTTTTTTTTTTCCCGTGCAGTGCATTCTGTAGAGCAGGGGTGCCCAACCTTTTTTGACCTAAGATCTACTTTTCGTTTAACCAACGTACCGCAATCGATTCACGCATGCACAACACACTTACAGACGCATGCCGACCTATGCGGAGGCATGGGACGCACTTTTGCAGCATTTTTGACTATCGTAGCTCACGTTTACCGTTTTGAAAATGCTTTTCAAGGCCCTCCAGATTCTCTTTGCCAGTACACTTAGTGAATTGTACTTGAAACGGCTTTTTTTTTTTGCAGCAGCAGCCACTTGCCGTGCATCCCGCCCTGCTAATGGAAACGCGTGTCGCAGGTTACGATGCAAATCTTCGCTGACAGAAACGTTGAAATGTAATATTTATTCTACACATTTTTACAGCATTGGGAAAAGTTAAGAATGTTTGTGTCATGTTTTTACTCCTACAGAAACCTTATTTAAAACAAAAAAAGAAATTTCCCTCCGACATCTTTTTCCATTTTAAAACATATTTTATAAAGCTCCAGGGTGCCACTAGATGGTGCTAAAGAGCCGCATGCGGCTCTGGAGCCCCGTGTTGCCGACCCCTGATCTAGTGGATGCATAAAGCACCCTCAGCCACTATTGTAGCTTCTATTCCAGTGGTTCTTAACCTGGGTTCGATCGAACCCTAAGGGTTCGGTGAATCGGACTCAGGGGTTCGATGGAGCCTCTGCCATGGAGGTTAAGACATACCTGACTCAACATGTCAATTGGTTACGACACACCCGCTTGGCCATCACTGGCTGCAGATGATCACATTCCATTGCTTGTCCAATCAGTGCTGCCGGAAATTTTGTTCGCTCAGTAGTCAACGTGTGACTGTCGTGATAGTACGTCCTAAAATTTAAAAAAAATAAAAAAACTTATACCGTATTTTCCACACTATAGGGCGCACCAAAAAGTCTTCAATTTTCTTAAAAGCTCACCGAGCGCCTTAAAAGCCGGTGCGTCTTTTGTATGGTCATGACGGTAATACATCGACTCCAAGATGGCTCCTTCCTGGAGACATGCTTCCAATGGTATAACTTGCTGTCGGTTCAGTGAACTGTGTCGCTGCTTTATTAAATAAGTTTTTTGTTGAACGGAATAAGAGAAGGCACGGAGACGGACAAAGACTCACCTGTATTTGTTGAAAAAACAGAGATGAAAGTGGACTTTTCTCAAAATTCCGGGGAAAAAAAAGTACACATATATATATATATATACATACACACACACACACACACACACGCACTTGGCCGATCACGCATGAATTAGTTTATACAAAACGCTATTCAAATACTCGACATTCAATGATTAATCTTCCTTTTGTGTACACACGTGTACCCTTTGTGGCTTCCGTTCGGGCCGAAATTTCGAAATCTCCAAGATATGGCAAGGCCATGAGAATGTGAGGCGAGGGTATTACTGTTGTGGCGACGCCACTCAAGCTAAGCGAGCCTCAGCAGTAGATGGTCCGCTGCGTCTTTTATTCGTTCCACTGGGGTTTAGCAGGTGTGTTTATAAAGAGACGAAAATTGTTTGGGGACTATCCAACACGTTCTAATTGAGATGGTATAACCCAAGAGGCAAAATGACGCTTGCTACTGTTGTTGCGAGTTGCCATTCGTTCTACTAAACCATTAGTCAAACGTCATCATGTCTTCTGTCGTTATTTCTCAAACAAAAATCTCTTTACTGTTACTAGTGTTAGTGCCTCAATATGGCTACGCTCGTGAAAGCAATACAACGAACTCAAACGCGTCTTCGTTCAATGTTCAATGCAACTAATATCTGGATTAATTTAATGCAAATTTTCCTCAATTCTCCGGAAAAATTTTCATAAAAATTTGAAAAACCCGGAATTCCGGGAAAATCCGGAGGACTTTCATCTCTGAAAAAAGGAGAGCTGTGTTTTTTTTTTTTTTTTTTAAACGCACACTTTATTAATGGTTTTCACAGTTTCAACAAATACAGGTACTGTACATCTTTGGCCGTCTCCGTGCCTTTCTTCGTTCCACTCGAGAGGCGTTCATGGCCGCCTCCGAAAAACGTAAATTAGCTCTTACTTCAATGAAACCACTAAGAAAATCAAGCGAGGAAATCACAAAATAAATTCTGTAGGGGGGATATTGAATTTATTTTGTGATTTCCTCGCTTGATTTTCTGTTTTGATGCATTATTTTCAATTTTCGTAGTTTCATTTAAGTACAGTAATAGTTAATTTACGTTTTAGAGAGGCGGTCATGAACGCCTCTCAAGTTGAATGGAAGGAGCGTAGCACCATCTAGTCTTGTAGATATTGCGCCTTATAATGTCCAATGTACGAAAAAAATTTACAAAATAGCCATTCATTGAAGGTGCGCCTCATAATCCAGTGCATCTTTTAGTGCGGAAAATACGGTACTTATGTCTTGAAATTTTATTTACTTTTTTTCTGTTTTTAATAAATGCGTTTTTTATGTCTTGAATTTGTAAAAAGTCATATTTTAGTTTTTCACAAATGAAGGGTTCGGTGAATGCGAATATGAACTGGTTGGGTTAAGAACCACTGTTCTATTCTATGTGCCTGACTTATAATGCAGTGCGCCCAACATATAAGAACAGTTAAAATCGGCCATTCATTGAAGGTGCACCAAATACGGTAGTTAAAAAAGGTGAAGGTGGGCAGAGTGAGAAGGGAGGTTGTCAGAAAACTGGTGCTATTACTACTAATAAATTTGTTTATATACTGTTGAACTTTTCTCTATATTTGAAGATACAAATAAACCGTTTATGATTAAAAGAAGAACAAATTATCTTCACAACACTGTAGTGAATAAAGAGAATTCAATTTTAGAGGCAAAAATAGTTTCTTCCACTTTGTGCTCTATGGCGGATTTATGAAGTCATCACATTGATGATCCTAAAGTAACTGTTTGAAGAACGTTGACTTTACTACAGTTTGTTCTTTTCTTGGGTTCTGAATGTGGAGATGGGATTCAGCTGCTATTTCGTACAGAGCTGGATCTCCTCTATTCTATGGGAGACAGATGGCTCTTGGCCACCCCAAAAATCCTCAACAATTTGCCTTAACCTGCAATTGGCTTGCAACCAGTTCAGGGTGTGTATAATTGATTTCTTGACCGATTTTAGCGTGTTTCAAAAAGTTGAAGAATTTTAAAGTGGCCCTTTCATCCTTCCATTTTTCTGTATGCAGCAATAACAATATTGCAATAACAAGCAACTATGATAAATAAAGACATGCCATATAAGTATCACAAGACTTTCCATAATGTAAAGGTACTATTACAATACAATACAATACATGCTGATTTATATAGCGCTTTCACAACAGCGGCAGCTGTAACAAAGCGCTTGTGCAGTCGTACCACCCAAGGACGGATGTGAGGCAATGTGCAAGTATCGAGCAGAGTACAACTTTACGTGTGCAATTATACAGAAAGTCCCTGAGCGCTTTAAAGTGTCTGGTGCTGTGGAATATCGCTCAATGACAATTGTTCAAGTATGTACTGTACAGAGCTGGAGCTCCAATGATCCCTGCGGTAATACTGTTCCACAAGAGTGTGCAAAAATGCAGAGTCACTGTAGATTTGAGTTACTGTTTAGGGAGTTAATGGCGAGAGGGAAGAAGGTGTTTGAATGTCTGCTGGTTTTGGTGCACATGGTTCGGTAGAGCTTGCGTCATGGTGGTAGCTGGAAACGGCGGTGGGCAGGTTGTGTATACGAAATTTCAGTGTGACATCTTAAAAAAAAAAAAAAGTTTTTTATGATTAATAAGCTTTTTACAATTCTATTTTCAATTGTAGTAAACAAAGCAAGTCTATTAAACTACATTAATCAGATCTCAAAAGTCAAAATTTAAATTTACTTTTGTTTTACAAACCAACAAATAACATGGCAGATAGATTGGATTTGATAGTTTAAGCACAGGTAAAAATTACTTTCTAATTCGTGCAATGTAATTATTCTACAAGAAATGTCTTCGCCTGCGTGCATTTTTTTATTTCTTGTATCCGCTTCTGCTGATGAAACGATGCCAATTTGTACCTTTGGGACTATTTGCATTGCTTTGCCGTCTTTCTCCCTATTATTGATAAGTGAAAACAATATTTGTCAGAAGTGGATTTGAGATGTGTCCTGCATTGACGCCAGATAGTAATCGAACTTGCGGTTTCCGCGTCGTGTTTAGCCATGTTAGCTAGTCGGCTGTCACTTGCAGGGAGCTGTGGCAGCACAAGATTATTATCACCATCTAACACCGAAACCAAACAGCAAAAAACAAGGACGTTGGGCGCTGTGCAAAGTGGAGACTCATTGTTTTATTTTTATTTTATTCAATGATGTACTTGTAAAACGATTCGCAATACAAATAAAGTCTTAGCACTTTATTTGTGCTAAGACTTTAATCAGTTGGCATGCTATTGCTCATCTAATTTAGTATTTCGTCACAAATAACACTGTCACGTCAAATCTTTTTAGAATCGATTATCCTATCCATGATTCCATCCAACAATGGAGTAATCGATTGTTTTAATGTGTTCTGTCTACGGCAGAAACAAAGGAATTGGTCTTACTGTCTCCAAAACATTTGAAGAGGTGTTAACAAATCAATCAAGTCAAAACCTAATCTTGTAGGAATTCCAGTTCAGTGTTAAAATAAAAAAAATAAAAAAAAAAAAGGATAAATATGCAGTGGTGATCCATTACCTTTTGTTGTTGTATGGTTTATTTTCACAGATCTCTGGTGAAAGATAATAAGGGGTTCCAATGCATGTTCTTGCAAGTTCTACCGTGCTGAAAAAAAAGTTACAGAAAAGACAAACACACTTTGAAATGTATGAAATGATTTCCAAATCAAATTTTCATTTTCCTTGACAGTTCTGACTGTATACCTGTTCAGCACCCTTGCAATCCCAAAGTCCCCAAGTTGCACAGTCCCATCTTTTGTCAAAAATATGTTCTACAAAAAGACAGTATGAATACAATCATTACATTTAATGGTGTCAATGAACACAAAAGGTCAAAGAAAAGTACAGTTGTGTGGTTCATGGCACCTGTGATTTGATGTCCCTATGAAGGATTTTTCTATCATGGATGTGCTTTAGTGCTAAGCAAATCTGCACAAACCAATCTAGGATCTAGAGGGGAAGAAATTTTGAAGATAAATGTATTGAAAGTCACATTTTTCATTCATCATCTGTTTTGCATCACGTTTTGCACACTTTAATTTGGAACAACAATTGATCTGCCCTGAACATTCATGACCAGTGTTCATATTTTGTAACTCACTTGCTCCTCCGTGAAAAGCATTCCTCTCTGAGAATTAATTTTCTTAAAGAGATCTCCACCCTCACAGTAGTCCATCACAATATACAAACAGCCCCCCTCTATAATGTCAAATGCCAGGAGAAAAAATTATTTTAAGTAACAATTGTAATTGATGATGCATAATTATTTCATGTTTACAGCTAACTCAAGCATACCTTCAAAAGACTCCTTATACTGGACAATGTTTGGATGACTCATGTTTGCAAGAACTGCAACTTCTTTCCGAGATTCGTGTCTCTCTTTATCTGACATCTGGTAAGATATAGTATGGATCGATATTCAAGTTGTAAAATGTATATTAACATGTAACAGGGGAACCTGATGAATTGTATTTCTTACCCCGGATATGCTGACCTCCTTGATGACATATTGGTGGCCATCCTTTTTGGCTTTGACAAGGACTGCCTTTCCAAATGAACCTTCCCCAATTTTTTTCACCTGATCATACTTGTCCATGTTAATGGATAGAGTGGCATGTCACACGGCGTCTGCAAATAAACTACGAAAATTTAAGTTAGGAATATCAACCAAAGAAATAATCAAGAAGAAAAAAGCTACTAATTCACGGCTACAGAACAACTTTAAAATTGATTGGTTCCGTGTTACTAATCCGAATTTTGGTCAGGTTTCGCTCTGAAAACACACAGCAATTACATCCCTGAAATGCAAAAAAAAAAAATCTCGAGTGATTAGCAAGACAGCTACTGTGAAGCTTACAGGTTAGCACACGAGGATGGTGGAAAATACCCCGTCATCATGAAAACCCCAGCACAAGAACACAACCATGTAAAATGTACAGATACGTTTCTGTTGAACGGTGTTACAAGATAGTTATGCGAGTCATATCTATCTTACCATTAACTATTCTATCGAGCTGACATCGCCTTGTTCTGCTGCAACGCTTGAGTTCTACCTAGCGGTGTGTCAAAAGCTTCGTTCTTATTGGCCATGGTCAACTTTGGCAATATTCTACTGGTGCACATGACTGTCCGTCATTTTCGAAGGCAAATAAAACATTGGTTCCCACCCACACAACATGGCCGTTTTTGTGAACATTCTCCATAGCAACCAAACGCCGAATTGGGAACCACAGGTCCAGATTTCCAACACGGTTAACCTAACTGATACCCATAACATGATATTTTTAACAGAGAAATCGTTAACACCAAAGGGATACATTTAAAATGTTGTATTTAAATTATTATATGTATTTTTTGTTATGGTCGTGCAATGATGATAATATCGATGCAACTATTAAGAGGGAGATTTTTATTTTGGCAGTATTGTCTCACCACCAAGGAGCTCAAAGATACCAATTAACAGGCACACCTGAATGGAAATGTGCAGGTACTAGTGATGTGTCGTTCGCGAACGAACCCGCTCTTAGAGCCGGCTCTTTGAAGTGAACGACATGAGCCGACTCCTAAGAGAGAGCTGCTTTAATGGGAGCCGACTTTTTTATTCCTCCTGTTTTTTCCCCCTTTCGGTTAAAGCCGCACGTGATTGGTCAAGATCCGTGGTAGAAGAGGGAGGGGAGGGTTGCACACTCACACACACACACACACACACACACACACACACACACACACACACACACGCACGCACGCACGCACGCGCGCGCGCACACACAGACACGCG